CGGTAGACTTTCTTGTTAATTTCTGTATTAAAATATGTGTTTGGTACCATATTAATATGGCATTCTGACATGCTTTTATTATAGAGATCCTAATGTGAAAAATGTTGCTGGGACTGCCAATTTAGCCCAAGAGAACCAAGCAATTAAGAAACAGAAGCTGGATGGGGGGAGGTCCAGACAGGTGATTGGTTACTATTGCCATGCTCTTCTCATTGAACCATAGTCTTCTGATGATACGTTTATGATTTCAGACTTTCCTTTTTTATGATTTCAGATTGTTAATGCGAAGCCCCCACAACCATTGATGCACAAGTCCAAACTGGGTCTTAGCAGTGGCAATTCTAACTTTTGTTCATCTGTTCCAAATAAAATGCAGAAAGTGGATAGAAAGGTATGCTACTTTTGTCAAATCTCCAAAATGTATTCAATTTTTTTTTGACATTGTTAGTTATTGACACGTTGAACACTTTTGTTTAAAAAGGTTTATGTTCGGGAACAAGCAGCTCCAGCTCCTTTTGTTTCAATGGCAGAAATGATGAAGAAGTTCCAATCAAACACTAGAGAATTGTCATTGCCACATGTAATAACAGAAGCCCATTTCACTCGTGCTTTATTGAACTCGGTTGCTCCAAGTTCTTTGTATTGCCTGCATCTGTTGTTGGTTTTCTTACAAATTTCTCTCATTTAATGTTCAGGATGGTCCTGCTTCTGCTATCCAGAGGAAGCCTAAACTCACACTGACAAGGCCCAAGGAGCCTGAATTTGAAACAGCTCAGCGTGTTCGCTCAGTCAAAATAAAAAGTACTGCAGAGATTGAAGAAGAGATGATGGCCAAAATTCCCAAGTTCAAAGCCAGACCACTGAACAAGAAGGTATTTCCCGCTTGTTTTGCAATTTATGACATCTTCCATCCGATCAGGTCCAACAACTAGCAGCACTGCTCTTGTTTAACTTCAATGCGTGCTTGAAATTTTTTTTTCATTGAACATAGATTCTGGAAGCTCCAACATTACCAGCATTACCAAGAAGCACACCACACCGACCTGAGTTTCAGGTAAGCTGTAAGAAATAATGATAAATAAAATTTACTCAAGATGATGATAATTGTAGGCTAATATTTCTTATTTCTGTAGGAGTTTCATTTTGTGACAGCAGCGAGGGCAAATCAGAATGCAGAATCGGCTTCAGTGGCTTCAACGGAAGTGTCTTGTCAGGTTCGAGCATCTCATTCATGGCCCTTCTTTGTCCCAGCAGCGCTAGTTCAGATTTACTCACTATTGTTCCTTTGTTACTTTCTATAACAGAGTAATCAGTGGAAACCTCATCATCTCACAGAGCCCAAAACCCCTGTTCTTCATACATCTTTAAGGGCCCGTCCAGCAATGGTGAAAAGTTCTTTAGAACTAGAGAAAGAAGAGGTTGAAAAGATCCCTAAATTTAAGGCAAGGCCTTTGAATAGAAAGGTAAACGAAGTCATTGAACATCAGCAGCCACTTAAATCTTAGTTTGGAAAAGAAATTGACATTAATATTATCTCGTGTAGATATTTGAAAGTAAGGGAGAGATGGGGATTTTCTGTCACGTGAAGAAGCAAGTTACGATCCCTCAAGAATTTCATTTTGCCACAAATGAGAGGATTCCACCGGCTTCTTCTGTTGTTGATATGTTTGAAAAGGTAGTATACATTTGTGGAGCATATGAATAAAAGTAATACCTGCATCTCATTATGTGGTCTTCTTCTCAGCTCTCACTGAGGTCAGAACCTACCAATGAAAATCCCATTCCAAGAAACACACTGCCAAATCCATTCCACCTCCACACAGAGGTATGTCCATTCATTCCTTAGTTAATGGAGCAAAATCAGGTTATCTTTTGTTTTTTGTTCATCATTTTTTGCTTGTCTTTATCTCCAGGAAAGAGGGGCTGAAAAAGAGAGGAAATTTGTGATGGAACTTGTGCAGAAGCAGATGGAAGAGGAAAGAGTAAGATTTCATAGGGCCAATCCCTATCCTTATACCACTGATTATCCTGTGGTAAGATATTCAACAATATGTATCTCATCATTATGCATCACAAGCTTTTAGGCTGAAAATAATGGTTGAATGATTGATAATCACTTCATACAGATTCCACCAAGACCAGAGCCCAAACCATGCACAAAAGCAGAACCTTTCCAATTAGAGAGTCTATTAAGGCATGAGGAGGAAATGCAGAGGGAAATGCAAGAAAGAGAGAGAAAGGAAAAGGAAGAAGCCCAGATGAGGATATTCAGAGCACAGCCCGTACTTAAAGAGTATGCAATGCGGAAGAACTCAAAACTTTCCAATGCTTATTGATGTGTACAAGTCAATCATTCTTTCCCATTGATGTATCGTATGCAGGGATCCAATTCCTCTACCAGAGAAAGTGCGAAAACCACTTACACAGGTTCAACAATTCAATCTCAATGCAGATCATAGGGCGGTGGAAAGGGCAGAATTTGATCAGAAGGTGAGTAGAAACCACATTTATTTAAACGGTATGTGTGTCTCATCTCATTGGAGGTCTTAACTTCCATTTCTCTTTTTCTTTGTGTTTTTTCAGGTGAAGGAGAAAGAAATGCTGTATAAGAGATACAGAGAAGAGAGTGAAGCTGCCAGGATGGTATGTGTGCTGTGCGCATGTCTATTGCTGCATTCTCGCATTCTCTTGCCATAAATTACCAGCTTGCTTATTGCTTAATGTTTTGCAGATGGAAGAAGAAAAGGCATTGAAACAGCTTAGAAGGACAATGGTTCCCCATGCTCGGCCGGTTCCAAATTTTAACCGGCCGTTCTTCCCCGAGAAGTAAGAAAGAGTTGACCACACCCCAGTTGCGGTTCTCAATCATTTTACCAAAACACCCTTGATTGATCAAATGATTTATTTCATCATGTACAGGTCATCCAAGGAAACTACAAATGCAAGGTCACCAAATCTACGGGTGCTCCAAAGAAGAGAAAGGAGGAAGATGATGGTGAATGCAGCTTCTTCTGCCGCTGCTTCTGGCATGAGGTGATTTGTTTTCCTGTGTAGAGCAGATAGCAGCTGTTCAAGAACTCTTGAACCATTCATTTTGATTTTAGTAGTGATCATTCTTTTCAGTATTATAGTAGCGAACCATTCATTTTGATTTTACTAGTGATCATTCTTTTCAGTATTATTGTACTGCTAATCATATGTACAAAACCTTAGATCATCATCATTTGTTGTAACACAATTCTAGAATGTAAGCAAAACTACTGTGTCTTGTACTCTGGAAATTTTTTTGGTATAAAATAGAGTAAATGATACGATGTTTTCTACAGGGGGATTAAGACCACCCTTTAGTCCTTTGATGTTTTCTACAGGGGGATTAAGACCACCATTAGTCCTTTGATCTTCTTCTACCAAGGGGATTGCTTCTTCTATGTTTTCTATCAATCATCGTAAATCGTAAACGGAAGTAAAAATATATGTGATAATCGTAAACAAGCTCTCCTATTCCCCCCTCGTTTTGCAAGGAAAAACTTTCAAGTCCCCCAGACCAAATTGCTTTGAATCTTAAATCCTCATGACAATGGGTTAATCCTACAGTCTCCGAGAAGTACGATAGCCTGGTCTTAGTTAAGTTTTCTATTGGGTCAAATTTGCTGGAGAATAATAGTATTTTTTTAGAAAGTAAAATTCAGAAAAATATTTTTTTTTGTTAGTGTAATAAAATATAAGTTAGAAAAATAATTTTTGAGTGTTTGGTTATGTTATAAAAAATAAACTGAAAAAATAACTTATCTTAAATAAAATAAATAGCAATCAAAATAATAGAGATAAAATATAATAAATAAAAAAATTAAAAGATAAAGAAATTAAAATAATAGTAATTATCATTTCATAAATTATTTCAAATAAAATAAGTAACAATTAAAAAAATGAGAATCAAATTTGATAGATAAAAAAATATTAAAGGAAAAAATAAACAATAATTATAAAAATGAGGAACAAGGATAATATAAAAATTAACTATTAATAGATAAAATTGAAAAAATAATATATATATATATAGCAATTACAAATTTAAGGATTAAATTTGATATAATTAATAAACAATATGATATTTTTAAATTTTTTATAATTTCTGAAAAGTATTTTCTATCCAAAATTTAAAAAAAAAATCTAAAAACCAAGTTAATTTTACTTTTAACTGAAAAGCATTTTCTATTAATCAATTTTTATAACAACAAAAAAACAAAAACAAAAAATTAATTTTTTTTTTTTTTAAATTACTTCTCATCAGATAAATTTTCCTTTAGGTAAATTCCAGTGAGATTCAAGAAAGCGTGTTTGCTAAAGATTTTTAATTTTTCTTTTAACTGAAAAGTATTTTTTATTAATTAATTTTTATAACAACAAAAAAACAAAAACAAAAAATTAAATCTTTTTTTTAAATTACTTCTCATCAGATAAATTTTCCTTTAGGTAAATTCCAGTGAGATTCAAGAAAGCGTGTTTGCTAAAGATTTTTAATTTTTCTTTTAACTGAAAAGTATTTTTTATTAATTAATTTTTATAACAACAAAAAAACAAAAACAAAAAATTAAATCTTTTTTTTAAATTACTTCTCATCAGATAAATTTTCCTTTAGGTAAATTCCAGTGAGATTTAAGAAAGCGTGTTTGTTAAAGATTTTTATTAATATTATTATTAACCAATTTTTATAACAACAAAAAAAACAAAAACAAAAAATTAATAATTTTTTAAAAATTATTTTTCATCAAATAAATTTTCTTTTAGGTAAATTCAAGTGAGATTCAAAAAAGCGTGTTTACTAGAGATTTTTATTAATGTTATTTTTATTTAAAAAGACTTGATGAGGTAGTGATTCGGATTCTTCACCAGGTCAAACCTGATCTGGGATTTGACAACTATGATTTTACTGTCTACTCCGAAGAGCTTGTGAAGGGCCCTTTCTGCTGCTGCCAGAAATGAATGAAATGAACCTTAGCTAACAATAAAAGCAACTTTTTTCTTATATATCACAATCTAACATAAAATTCGTATACAAGGCTTTGGGTTCTGAGAAAAGGAAGCAGTGGCAATAAATTAAAATCAAAAGACTAATCTAAAAGTTGAAAAAATATAAATGAGATGGAAGCCTTTTCTTTTTCTTCCATTGAAGCCGAAACATCAACTTTTGATTAACTCCTTCTGCCGATAAGCTAGTATCTGCAAAACCAAAGAGCCAGGAGATGAGCAGAGTAATTTTGTACACATTATCGAGCAAGTTCAGTCACTGCCATGAGCAGAAGATTGCCATCCAGTAAGAATCACGCTCACCAAATGATCTCTGCTGGAAGAGCAGCTTGCTTTAAGGCCTGCCACTGTTTCTTGTCCTTTCAGAATTTGCAGCTCATCATCCATAGGGATCTGAGGATGCTTGGTGGGAAAATTTTCATCGGACTGGTGCTTCCCCTTCACTAACAATATTTCAACTTCTTCAGCTTGCAAAGTTGTTTGGTGAGCAACATACTGCATACAACGTATATATATTGTCGAGATGAGCCTCGGAAAGGAATTGAGGCGTAAGAAAACAAGGAGAGCCGCGTCACAGTTCGGGTCAGACCGCATGTTGTTGATGCCATTTAGCAAAAACATTAAGCACAGACACAAGGCTGGCCAACATCATTTCAGGATTATAAATCAATATTGACCAAGGAAAAAGCGGGCTATACATCTTGCTGGCCTTGAAACTTCCCCAGCATTGTAAAAACCATGAATGCTGGAATATGAAGCATCATGCTTTGAGACATACTTATGCATCAAGGCACTCTTAAAACTTTTTCAGAAATGCACGTTAATTGGGCTTAGCATAAGCCATTCAGAATAGCAGGTTAGAATCATGGTCAAATTTGGCTAGTTTAGAAGTTTCACTAGGTTCCACCGATACATAGAGTAGAATAGGACTAAATGAGGCTTGCTAGCCACTGTTGCCAAAAGCAATGTCTGTCTTGATTAATTGATTTTCCTCAGTTCAAGGGTTATAGTTCTAGTGTTCTATCAAGAAAAATAAACCAAGTATTGCGGAATAATAACTTCAATCCTGCTTCTCAAGAAAAAATCATTTAAGGAATTAAGGTGGTGAGAGAGAAATCTCACTTCACATAGGTGTTTGATTGACAAACTGGGCCGGCAGCAAAGGTAGGGCTGCTTTAAAGTTGGTGCACTGTGTTTGTCCAAAGTAATAAGCTTGAGATGAATATCCAACTGCAAACACATAACATGATTAAGTTACACAGGATGCACAAATACATGGGAAGAAATGGCAAAAGGGGCTCAAGGGGTTTGAGACACTAACTAGATAATTCAGTGGTAGATGGAAGCTAGAAACTATAAAAACAGGTACTTAATTCAATCAGATATTGAAATTATTATTGACATTTTTAAAAATTTAGACAACTTTGTCCATTGGAAAAGCAATTGTTGCTGTGTAATTTCATGTCCTTGTCGATTAACATTTTGATCGGTTTTTAATTGTTGTTGTTCTTTTGAGTTATGGACCATCTTGTAAGCAGTGACAGATCTACAGCCTTGCAACTACCACATACATTTAGGGCACTTTGTAACAAGTTATTCTCTTTGGATCTATGTTAGTTAACCTCCTATTGATAATACCTAGTTCAAAACATCGAACTCCTCCTGTTGCTACAGTACATCATATTGCTTTTCATAGCTACTTGACATTAAAATTTCATTCATTCCAAACCCTTCCCATCGTTACACTACCAAATCTTCTGAACACCTGTATATTTACCTTCTCTTAAAGTTACACATTCAAACAAGTTTTTCAAAACCCTAAATCCCTGTGAATTCTGACAGCCAAAGCTTCAAGTCAGACCTCCCTTTTTCAATAATACCTACTTGCACATCCTTTGAACTAGAAACCCCAGATTGTTCATCGAAGAATTCCATCATGAAAATCCCAGTTTTTCTAAACTCTAGCCTAACATGGTAGCCCAAGTAGAAAAATAAATCAAATTAGTCCAACATCAATTATGAAATCATGCATGATATTTCACATTGCAAATAAGGTGATCTCAACAGAAATCAATAAGAGTTAACAGCATACTAGCATACCTCATCATTTTTCTCATCTAAGCCCCTGAGATATTCTACCAGCTTGGATAAGCGAGTATTTCGTGAATTCTTATTGTTGCAACCACTAGGATTACCATGTCTTGTATGACTCCGAGTACCGCCCCTGCCCCAAGCAAGCATTTCTGTGTTCCACGCAAGCCCAGGAGATAATCCCCTGTTTTCTCTGTTTGAATCTAAATCATTTTCAGCACATCCACCCTCTGAATTCACGGCTGAAGAAGAGGGCTGGGAGGTCCGCTGTCTCTTGCGCCTCCTCTGCCTAACTTCTGTAGAGCGGTCATCAGTGGAAGACGAGTCCTTGCCCATATTGTCATCATTTTCATCCTCAATGTCTTCATATCCTTGAAAATCACTGCCTCGACTGTTCCGTCGCCTCCTTGAAATAGGCCGCTGTGTTCGCTGTGGTCGTGTCGCGAAAGTTGATTCTTTACCCAGCGTGCGTCTCTTAACCAGTGCTTCTGACTGTCTTTGAATTATTTGAGCGATTGAAGCTTGAATCTGTTCAAAACAGCAGGGAAACAACACACCAGAAAAGGGGAGAACATGTTGAATTTAGGCAATGGCTCTAACATAAAACAACAGTGGCTTGAATAATTCTACATATTACGATCCTTGAAAGAAAAAAGGCATGTAAAATTAGAGGTGTGATGAACAAAGTGAGGATGCCAGAAGTGTCCATTTTAAAGAACCAGTATTCTTCTGCATTAAGGAATCGAAACTCTCCTCACAAAGAGCAACGATCTCCAAGATTGTCATCTCATGCACAGTCAACTCAGAATTTGAATTAGCGAAATAAATCAATATGGACTGTCAGGTGAAATTCCCGTGATGTATGCTTCTTTCCAAGCATGACAATCAAGGGCTCAACAAAGCAACATCATCACAGTTATCTCAATCACTGCTTTTCTTAAATTTAATTCCCATTGAAATGAAAATGAAGGTCATTGCATATGCATGCAGACAAGGGAATAAAACATAAATCAACACACCTGCTTGTTCCGAGTCCTTTCCTCTTCATGAAAAGCCAATTCCTGAGACCAAATACTCACTCAGCAAACCAGTTGCTTTAAATAAATTAATAAACAAACAAACTAGCGAAGCAGTTGCTTGATTGAATGAAATACTTTCGAACGCATTTGACAAGAAAGTAGATGAGCCATGTCACTTATACCTCTTCCTCATACTTATCAATGTCTGGATATAGGGCTGCAATTAGGGCATCATAGTTTGGATCATCTCTCAAGGATCGCCGACTTGCACAATGTGTGCGGCAAGCAGGGCATTCATTGTTCCTGCAATATATTACCAATTCAGTAAAAAAAATGTTAGTGGTGCACAGTATATGGAATTATCACAAGTTTATACCAAACAATGGCATGATTAATGGATTAGGATATCAGATTACAAAGACAGTTAAAAAGAAGAGTTTCAGTTGTTACATACCCCATTCGCATTGATTTATCAATGCATTCCCTGCAAAAACGGTGCAGGCATTCCATTACAGTTCGTGTTTTCTTTATGATCCCTGTTCAGCCACAAGGCATGAATAATTTACTAAATGTTCCGCCAACATGGATAACAAGGCAACTTGTAGGTGCGATAAATGCAGTTATTGGAGATTAATCAAACTCCTGAGCAAGCTAACATGCTGAAATACATTGCAGATAGGACGTCAAATGAAGAAACAGTATTGCTGCAGAAGTGCTGATGGAAACGAAAGCACAGAGTCCAGTGTTAAAGATTCATGTTCATTCTTCAATCTCAAATAAGGTGAAAATGAAGTACGGAACGGGTATAAGTTAATTGGAAGCTTTGTAAAAGTTAAGGAAATCCAGCAACCCTCCACAAATAAATCTCCAAGCTGACCACAAAAGAGATTGGTCATTTAACAAATGGTCATCATCTAATGATCCAGATGGCAGGCATCTCACATGCAATTTACTAAACACGATCTACTCCAAACATCACTTGAATTACATACACTGGGATGAACTGAGCATTCTTGGATCCTTGGATGAAAACTGAAGGAATAATAGATTGCATTGCATTTGAGAATTTCATACATAACAGAACCTGATGGTTTTCATGACAGTACGCCATAGAACCAGCCAACTTCTCGCTTTGAACACTGAGCAAAAGATATAAGCATTTCTTCCTCTTCCTTGTATTATCATGCTTACCTTTGAACACTGAACTGTTAATCACAGTTCAGTAAAGCTAAATTTTATAAGTCAGATGCATCATGTCAAAATACAAGGCCATAGGTTCCCATGGAGTTCTATTTAAGAAAAAATATGCCTCTACCTAACATATGTTTTCAACTATTTAGATCACATCTAGCAAACAGAACTATTGATGAAATTCTGACACATCTTTAGCAAAAAAGGAGAACATAAGAAAATTGCAAGCTCAGTACCTAAACATATTGGACACTGCACATCTTTACGAATGTCCAGCAGTTCCACGAAGACAAATCTGCAAATGAAACAAAATGTGAATGGCCATTTAAACCCACTCGCTGATATATACTAGTACAGTAGAATACAAACATCAGCTAGCTGTTGGAATAGAGCATATGTAATTTGTTTCCAGGAAGAATACAAGTACCTCTTTCAAATCTTTTCATAGAGACTAAAATAACATTGAAAAGAAATGGACTTTGTAGTTCATATAGAGATATGCGGTAAATGTGCACATGCACATAAAAAAATATGTATGTCTTTGCAGGTGGGTGAGTATGGATACGTAAAGCCAAGGAAAGAAGGAAAATTTGTGGTAAAAATCCCCCCTGACAGTGGAGCACTACATGATGCACATTGCTGCCAGCATACTAGCTTTCACAGTCTTCTTGTGTGATTCTTAGCAGTGGAACTTCATCTCCTTCACCTTCTATTATGCTTAAGCCCCTAGTTCCTAGAAGCGGAAATCCACATTCTTAATCACATTGTCAACTTCCCTCATAGTCAAACTACCCATGGAGGATAACCAGCTAGAGGTTGATCGCTTTGATCTTCATAACCGAGCCACAGATACAAGGCTCCATTACTTAAAAACTTCCAACACTGTGAAACATGATACGCCCTGATCACATATGTAAATTCATGCCAGAAACACTCCAAAACAGAGAAGCTTCACTAATATCAAAGACATGTTCAAAGGGCTGAGTACAATTGAGTTAAACTCGACCCCTAACTTGTCATCTTGCATAAAAGTTTGAAAAATGTAAGGGTGGCTACATTTCTCATCGTTCAGTCATCAATTTAGGAGCCTCCAATCAGAACTACTAAAAGACACTTGTAAACCAGCAATACTTCCAACGTTAACAAATTGGTGCCAATTCTCTGTAAAAATTTCAACATTTAGCTTCAGCCCCACTAAGAAACATAGATCGAGAACATGCACCAACCTCTTACGCATTCAATCATAACAAAACTACTACAAAAAAAATCCCATCAACCTCCATAACAAGAAAACGAATCCCCTCGTAATTAAAACCCCATCAGGAACCAAATCAAACCCAAAAATCTTAAAAACTCAGATAAGAAACACAACCAAAATATGCACTTGACTATATTCCAGGAAAAAAAAAACAAGAGATGTGTAAGAATGGAAGCATACTCGGGCTTTTCCTCATTTTCAGAACTGGAAGAAGAAGACGACTGGGTTCCATCAGATTCTGAGTAAAAGAATAAGAAAAACAGCTTCAATTAATCAATTATTTTACATTACACGTCAAGAAACGTTTACACACACATAAAAACACAAGAAGAAGAAAATACCTTCTTTCCCTCCTCCTCCTCCTCCTCCTCCTCCCCCTTCCTCTTCTCCTTCCTCTTCCTTTACTTCATCATCATCTTCTTCTTCTTCTTGAACTTCTGCTCCTTCTTTCTTGTCCACTTCCTCCTCCTCCTCTTCTTCTAGTTCTTGATGCTGACCATTTTGATGGTGCTGCTGTTCTTGGTCAGTTGGATGCCCGTTTTGTAGAGGAGGAGATAGCTCAGACAAGTCTTGTCGTTGCTGTTGTTGATGATGCTCTTGCTCTTGCTCTTCACCTTGTTGTTGTTCATTGTCGGGATTAATGTTGTCCGGTGAAGAAGCCGAGGCGTGGGCAGGCATTGATGGGTGCTTCTCTTGCGTGTCGCTCTGTAAATATGAGATTTTGCTGGGCCGTCAAATTTACATATATATTTATATATTTTTTTTTTGGTGTGTCTGCTGCTGCTTGAGTGTATGATGATGTTGTAAAGAAAGAGAAACGAAGAAGAAGATGGGAGAGAGTGAGAGCTTTGTTGCCTTTTTTTTTTCTTTCTATTTGTTGCCTTTGTTTTTATACTTTTCCTTTTCCGTTAAATATTTATAATAATTTTTTAAACAATTTTTTTAATTATTATTTCCTAATTAAAATAACATATTTTACTAATTAATTATATATTTTTTTAGGTTGTGCTTTGTCACGTATAAGATAAATAAATAAAAAATGGACATAAAAAAATAGAATCATGTTTGGTTAGATAGAAAAATAATACAAATATTAAAATATTTATCTCTATATCAATTTTAAAATGATTTTTTTTGTTTTTTTGTTTATTCAGTAAATGAGCCAACAATTTATGGACTTATTATTTATTATTTATTATTATAATAATTATTATTGATGAATTTGCGTTTTGGGTAGTGTCAAAATAGGGGACGGAATGGATGTTACGGCCACCGAGAGAAGCAGCACCTGTTGCCTTGGTGGGCGGCCTTCTGTCTCTTCACTTCTGCCCTTTTTCTCACTCCGTTTTCTTTATTTCTTTTTCTTTTCTCATTATTTTCTTTAATATTTAAATTGGTTAATTTTGTGGCAAAATAAGTCAGTTGATTAAGTAATTCTTAATTAATTTTAATCTAAAATGTTATTGTTGGTTTTGAAGCTAAATAGTGGTTTCATACCAATTAAAAAATGAATTATTTCACTGCTAGTTAATCAAAATAAAATGAAAGAAATGATAAAATAAAATAAAAACTCCTTTTCTTCATAACCTATGAATCTTAAAACCAGTGTAAACTCGTAGATTTGTTAAGTTAATTTAATTATTGATAGATAAACTCGAGTTTATCATAAATAATGTTATTTTAATTTTTTAATAAAATTTCAAATAATGCTATATATTTTAAATAATTTAAAAAAATAAAAAAAGTTAGTAAAAGAAATATTGGAATTAATTTGATTGAATCTCATTCGGGTTCAACCATGTGAATCAAGTCAAGACTCAACTTGCAAAATCATTAAAATTCGATCGGGTTTCAACTTTCAATACAGTTAAGAAAACCGAACTCGGTCAGCAATCAACCGCCAAGCCAAACCCATTTGTAATTATAAGCATGCTTAATTAAAGTCATGCTCGAAATGATGGAGGAGTTAGCAAACTCCGATACTAACACCTAGTAGGTGAGGGATTGTGGATCTGTCATGTTGAAAACTCTTTCTGGGCATGAAAGTTAGGTCAACGATCCCACTTGCCCCGACCTATTAAATCCATTTGCATCTCTGAACTACAGCAGCCGGAGAACGAATTCGACAAGTTGAAATATGATTGGATATCTTGACCATTTCCCAACTTGAACGGGGCCTGACTTAGGGCATCAGACACCTTTTTGCCTTTTTTTAGGGTCCCAAATGATTATTTATTTGTATATTTGTCAGTTAAGGACAAAGAAATCGCCCTTCGACAGAGTCCCATGCTGGCGAAGTTATGCTTTAACTAGAATGCGAAGCATCCCATGTTGATGATTATCGCAGTGACTCCATCAGTGGTCGCTAAGAATAGATCAGAGACGGCGGCGCATGTTCGTAGCCTTCTGTTGACAAAGACAGCTTCCTGTCTCAACTCTGAAATCAAGAGCTGTAGCTGCCATCTTGCCCGACGAGAGCATGTTCGTTCAATTAGATATATGTCTCAACTCATGCAATGCTATGGACACTGATGAGTGTTCAACGTGAGCTTTAAATATGGAGGAGTTTCCCTACTTATAAGTAAGAGTAAATTGTTTGTCACGATTCAATCATTAATTATTTAGATATTGTTTAGTTATAATTTTTGAAGGTGAAGATGGAATTCGATAAAACATGAACGATTTGTTTTTCTATTATTATTGTCTTGAAAGTATGAAAATTCATTTCAAAATTGTTAATTTTAAACCCGTCTCTAAAAAATTTCCCTTTTGTTCTCGTTGCAAGAGTAAAATAATTGTGATAATTCAGTCTTAATCATCTTAAATGGTGTTTAATTACTATTTTGAAAAGAGAGAACGTTGATGATGAGTACAGAAAACGCATGCCCCCTAATTTTTCATGTTTTGAAAGCATGAAAATTCACTCATAAGCTGTTTAAGAAACATTTATTTTATGTTTTTATCTTTTAAATCAAATATATTTTTTTCTATTATGTATTTATTTTTATTTTTTTTTCTATCTTGAAAACATGTTGGAGGTGTATATCCATGCAGAGAACCAAAAACAGCAAGTTGATCGCAAATTGACCCTGCATGGAGCTAAATAATAACGCATGAAACAAGCTGGCTCATATCCCAAGAAAGATATGCCGATTGACTAGAATTCAGGCCTTCATGGCAATTCTATCGCAGTCTTTTCAATATGATTAGTAGCAGCCCTGGAAACCCCATGTAATAACTGATAATATATTGATTGAAGCAGAACACTCAATACAAGTCAAGTCAGTGCTTGCAACAACACCCTGAAACTATTACAATCACTTGGGTTAAGTTAAGTAGCTAAGCCACACTGGTAGCATATGCCTACTGCCACAGCTAGCAACCCTGACAGGATGCATGGTTGTCACACAATGTATTAGCATTTGTTTAGCCGGAGAAGTACATAATAATAATAAGAAGATGAAGAAGAAAAAGAAAGGGAAAGAGTATCAGCATCACTACATCCCTAGGATGACAGAAGAGAGAGAGCAATCGGTTTAGCTTATCTGGAAATGTTTGTAAGTGGCAGTTTCTTGGATTGTTATCTTAATTCTTCCCCTTTCATCAGCCTGGCCACATACCATATCCTTCAACTGGGTGCTATGAGTTCCATTCACTTTGCGGCTTGAGCCTTCCACGTGAGATTCAACAACATTCTTCCTTCGCCTCTCATTGTGTCCGGCCAACCGCCTGCGACAGCTTCTTTTGGTTTCATCAAATTCTGATAGTTCATGGAATCTGCATCACAATCCTCCTCAATATCAGACTATACAAAACTGTCACAGTTTTTAGCACTCCTTGATGATCTATGACATCAGAAAAAAGGCCAAAGACATCATAAAGTTGTTATTCCTGATATGCATGTGGTTTGATTAAGATACTTAACATGCGTGTCTGCGTTTATTAATTTCAAAGGACTCAGAAGAGAACTAGTGCTTGAAAATTTATAAAATGGAGCAGCAAAGACGAGGTTTTTTTTTTTTTTTTTTT